GTGCTGTTTTAAGCTTTTTCTGCTGACGGGCCATTCGAAACATCATTCTTGCTTTTGTCTTACTTCCTCCTGACCTGCTTTATGTGGATTTTCTAGAGTCTAATAAGTTGCGACCCTGCTTCTCAGACTTTCTCTCAGCCAGATGCTAATATTTCACAAAAAGTGTTAACATTCAACAAAAAGTTGATTTTGTTTGAGACCTCTCCCCCTTTGGCAATTTTGGTTGAAATTGGCCAATGTTTAAAAGTTACTGGGGAGGAGCAGAGGCACATAGACACATGTGTACATCCCATATACTTTGTTTCCATAAGACATCAGGCAAAACCAGTTTAAGAATGTATTATTATTGCCCCTGGCATTGGTGGGAGAAATCCCACTCAGATGTTGGTGAGATCATGGCAGAGAAGCTGGTGAGATAAAACCTGTAACATCTATAGCACGGCTGCATTTCGTATCAGCCTTGAAGATTAGTCCTTACCAAGGCTCTTGTTTCTTGGATACCTGGGGAAGTCTGGCGTGTTACTGATTGCTACTATGCTGACAGAGCAGCACAGACCTATTCATTTACTAAAAATGTAGTAAAGCAAAAGCAACAAATACTGACTACATGAGGCTGAATAAACTCAGCAGTCTATACTGAAAGTGTTTTTAGATTACAGAAGTGTCTGTGTAAATCGGATGCTAAGCGTGAATCGGTTCAACAAGAGGCAGATTACCCCCTCCAGCTGCAAAGGAGCCCAAGACACTTGTGCTGATCGCCATCCTGTGCGAGTCTAAGGACTAGAGCTGCATCTTCTGATTTGCTGCTTTTTTCTGGCACTGAACCAGACTGTCATATGTGCTGGAGCTGAGCCTAACTCAGCTGAAATAGTGGTGGCAGAGAGGATGCTGCCCCTCTCAAAACACACCCACACCTGCTTTATCAGCTCTGGCTCAGTGAAACTGAGCTGTCTGGCCAGTATTGGTCTATCCAGGCCCTTCATAAAGGGCTGCAGAAAGGTGGGGCTACAAAAGCCAACAGTCTCTTATCCTGTGTCCTGTTGTGTTTTATTTGTGTTAGTTTTTGATTTAAAAGAGACTTGGGAAGAGATGGAAGAGTCTCAGGAGTAAGACTGTGACAGAAGGAGACAGATCCTGATATCAGACACATGACCTGGAGAAAACTGCCCTCCTTTATGTGACATTTTTATTCCAACTTCCTAATAACAGTCTTGCTTTTCTCAGTGGAAATCAGAATGAAAAACAGTAACAATAAATTTTTATCAGTAAAAGGAACAGATGGGATATAGCTCTGTATCCATACTGAATAAAGAGGTGTTTGTTTTACAAGGATTTTTTGTTTTAATGAGATCACCCTGAAATGCAACGTTGAAGAGGGGGAATACCTCATGGTGTCTTTGGTTATGGGCTTGATGAAGTGAGACTAAGATGTGTGGAAAGAAAAAAAGAAGGCAAGAGGATCTGGCATGTAGACTGAGTGAAGAAAGTTGAGGGAAAGAAGAGGCTCACACAGGCAGGCAGCACAGAGCAAAACGAGCCCTTGCAGAACTGCAGTCAGAACTCTCCACTTCCACTTCCAGCATACTTCCACCTGAGCCGTGGTGATTCCAGCCTTTTAAACTCTAACAGACCTGGTAAGCCACCATCTGCTGTTCAGACCATCAAGTCATTTCTAGCATTTGGAGCAGAAGAAGAAATACAGTTTTAAAGCTTTGATTTGAACTGTAATTATATAAGACCAAACCTCTTCTGTGAGCTGGAGAAATTAAACTCTGATGCAGACTTCGAGTTAGAAGAAAAGGAAAGGATTTGAGCATCACCAGGCAGGAACATTTTCTGTTAAGGCTAGTAAGTCTTTTTTCTTTTGCTTCACGTGCATCTTTTTCTTCTAAAGGTAATGAAGAGCAAGGCTGAGTTGTCTCACGTCAGACCCCAAACAGAAAACACCAGCAGTGTTCCACTGCTTTGAAAGCAGGGATAGCTTTAAAGGCATTTCAAAAGATAAAGTTTGCAAACTAGGCCACCTTGCCTCTCTCTAACGGCTTCTGTGTGGACACCTAATGGGAAATCTGTTGGGAATCTGGGGAATGGCACACACACAAGAGCAACCCCATTAACTCTGCTCTTACTAAAACTTTCCCTTTATAAGAAGTGAGGCAGACTGAGGAGAGAAAAAGGATATTTCATTTTAAACAAATCCCACTAGTACACCTCTCAAATTCATAGATTCTTTTATATAATCACAAATAATTTCAAATTATGAAAACTATACGAAAATATTAGAGCAGAACTGTAGAAAAACAAAATATAAAATAGTGTATATATTCCACAGGATTCTTCTTATGTTTACTGACACTTTTAAATGTCTGCAGTGACAGGGCTTTTCCCTGGTTTGATATGAAACAGCTCTATAAAGATGGGCTGTACCAAAAAGCTTTCGACTATTGGGACCTAAAGCGTCATTCTTTTTGTTCACACCATATTTCTGTCAAGGCTGGTAGAGAATAGGACGGGGTTGGTCCACCTAGATGAGCAATGGCTTTAATTTTCCAAGTGAAATCTGATCGTTTAGATTGTAAGCACACAGTATTATAAAGGCATTGCTGCCAAGCACTGTTTGGAAAATAGTGAAGAGAGGAGGAAGGGTATTTTTATTTCTTGGATTAAGCAAAACACTCCTGTGAAACTTCTCAAGCAGACAGGTCGCGCTGGTATGTTCAGCAGTATTTTCTGCCCAGTGGAAAGCCTTCACTTAGTGATTTTTCACAACTTCACCTGGAATTATACAAAAGAACTCCTTGTTAAAGGAGTCCAAGAAATTATGGCATTTGCCAAATTTTGGTAAATGAAATCAAAATAACAAAAGATGCAAACTGGACTGGTTGAAATTTCAACCCTTCTCTCAGCGCAGGCTCACTGTGCTTCCAACGGATGGGGGCAGTGGCAGGGGACAAATACAGCAGTCGCGCAAACAACTTCACACCCTTCACCTTCAACTGAAACTTAGTGAAAGATAATGTTAATCAGAAAGCTCTTTCCCCAGTATGACCTCTTTCTCTTGATTAATTCAATCTGAGAAATGGAGCCAGTTTGTTTTTCATGCCCAGCCCAAGCTTCTATCACTATTCAATTTCTAAATGTGCAAAATATAATTAAAACAGGTGGAGGGCAAGATTAAAAGAAAGAAAGAAAGCGTAAAGATTGCTTGTGCTTTTCGGTTGATGCAAGGCTTTCACCATAAAAGGCTTTTAAACAGATGAATTCAGCTATTATGCTGCAGCACTGAAACCCTGCTCCAAGTGCTTGAACTTTTCAGGGACACTGTCAGGTCAGCTTAGATTCAAAACATAAAACTTGGCTGGGATGCTGCAATTGCCTAAAGGAATTAGGTACCTAACTTCTACTGAAAGTCAACGTGTGGCAGGAGGTGAACTGACTTTCAGGAGGCATTAGATGCCTTTGAAAAGCCTGTCCCTATCCCTGTAAACCCAGGACCATGTCCTTGGCAGAGATAAATGAATGTAACTCCTTTGACACCTCCTTATCCAGCAAAGAATTTTGTACACAGATTTTACAAAACATAAAACTAGCCAAAAATACCTTTAAACTACCTTTAATTAATTTATGTGATCCTATTTTGTTTAGCATTAAATATTTATTTTCAATATACAATAATTGTATTGTAGAATAATGATATTATTACAGCGTGGAATAACTTCTAGGAAATTAGTCCACTAAAACTTTCAGTTTTAGTCTGCCAGCCTGCAATTCACTGTTTAATCCACTGATTTTAGTGGTACTCCTGACCTGTTAATTGCAGATTTAGAGCCTCAGTACCTTAAGATAGTCACAGAAATATGTTTCCATTAAAAAAACGCAAACCAAAAACGCACATCTCATTAGCCATAATGCAAATTTATAGCAGGCAGTGGGGAAATTCAGTAATACAGAAAGCAGGTTTCTGTCTTGTTGACTGAGATTCCAGTGCTATCTAAGCAATATGGAATTAAAATTCAGATTAGACAGCTTTGAGAAACACATCCCTGCTTTAATTTGACAGTTTGCTTTAATTCCTCATCACTACTTAAAAAAGTCATTTACAATAAACGTGTTGCTGTCAGTTGTATTTTTGCTGTAGCCTATTTTTCACACAGGATGGGCATTTGGCACTCCTATGATAAATTCTGGGGGGTTTGGGCACATATATGCTTATATCCCTCATGTTCTAAGACTTTAGTAACCTGATGCTACATTATGAACTAAGCTCTTTGGGATTTATCTGTCCAGTTCTTTAAGAAAAACAACTATGGCAGTATCAATGGACTAGAAATGGAGTTTTTCTTTTCAAATCCACAGAAATTTTCGGTAAGAATTCTTCTAGCTGTCCAAGGACCTCATTCAATGGTCAGCATGACTTCTAGAGCGGGGACTCTGGACAGGCTGGAGAGGTGGGCGGAGAGGAACCTCATGAAGTTCAACAAAGGCAAGTGCAAGGTCCTGCACCTAGGCAGGAATAATCCCATGCACCAGGACAGGCTGGGGGTTGACCTGCTGGAAAGCAGCTCTGCGGAGAAGGACCTGGGAGTGCTGGTGGACAACAAGTTGACCATGAGCCAGCAGTGTGCCCTTGTGGCCAAGAAGGCCAATGGTCTCCTGGGGTGCATTAGGCAGAGTGTTGCCAGCAGGTCGAGGGAGGTGATCCTGCCCCTCT